ATATTCAACACCACCTCCCGGTATAAACGCTGTCTAGAACAAGCTCAAAATGGCGTCTGTCAAAAACCTGTGGAATGTTCAGGTAACACCACGTGACCAGGAAATCACTGCCAGGCTGACTGCCAGGGATCGGGTTGAACTATTTAAGAATTTTTACATGCTAGTTGCTGTACAAAACCCTTTAGATATTGAGCAGAGAATTGTAAACATGTGCTTCGTAAAATGATAGCTAAAAGACCATGAATGGAGTGAGTGAGTTTAGTTTTACGCCGCACTCAGCAATATTCCAGCTATATGGCGGCACCATGAATGGAGTATTCATGTGTATTCAAATAGTAGTATTCATAGTAGGGGTTCTAATAGCGAATTATATGTCCCTAAGCTATGTCATGTTGATGTCTATAAAACAGTTTATTGTTAGTCTTTTATGAGGTCTTTGTTCTTGGCAAGAAAGGCTTGAATGATTTGTTGTCTCCCTTGTAGTATGAACTTTTTTTTCTCCTCTTCGCTGATGTCAGTGGTTTTCCGAGTCTTGGTTCGAATGTCTTCTTTCATTCTGTGGTATTTTGTGAGTTCTGCTAACACCAGAGAAACTCTTCCTCGGAGATTTTACTGTCAGTGAGCGCTTTTGATACGTGATCATCTAGCGTGTTTAACTTGGCTTCGGCTAGAACCCTGATCTGATTGTCTTTCAGCGCTCTACATTGCAGCCGACGTGAAATGAATTTAGGGAGCTATTCCCACCAGCCCCGATACCCCGGCTGTTATTTCTAACCCGAGGACGATGGGTGTGGCTACGATGGTTGTTAATAAACCAACACCAGCAGCACCGAGTCCCATGCTGGCTGTCACGAGCGTGGTGTCTATACCATCGATGGCATTCGTTGACCTATGGTACTTTTTGTGCAATCCTAGTCGCACCTCATGTTCTTGTTCCAGTTGACGTTTGATCTCGCTGATTTGTCGCAAACGAAAACGGTCCACGGTTTCGAGTGTTCGAGCGACTTCGTCTGACTTTAAGCTGATGAGGTACATATGCTTGGATGATATTTCAGACTCCTGAAAAACCATGATATCATCGAGGCTTGTGGAGGGGGACTGTTCCTGGTTGTATATAAATACGACAATGTCTATTTTGATTGTGATCATGCCAGCGTATTTTTAACCCACCGAGAATTTTCACATCTTCTGAGGGGGCATCTCCAAGAAAGACTTCAATAATAAGTGTAGAACCCACTATAGCATTGACCCACGTAGCTGGGGTTTCATTATAATTTGTGTTTTTTAATTGTAACCATTTATATCTGTTTTCCGGACGGGTGACTAACATATTACCTGTTTCGTCGTTCAGCATACAAACGTTACGATAACCGTCGGATAAAATGTGGCGGTCTTTATTAATAAATAGCTTCTTGTTGTTTCTCTCTCCACTGATATTAGTCCATCGCGGGTAATACGTGAGATCACAGAGAGCGACTTCGAGTTGTCCTGACGTGTTATCGATAGCGTGAAGCAGTTGAATGGGCTCACCATTCGTGATTCCTGGGCGTAAGACGAACATGTTAAATAGATACAAGACACTACAATATACATTCAATATGTCTACACCAAAGTACACACCTAAAAGTTATTACGTGACCGCTACCGATTTCACGCAAATAAAGATTGTGGTGGATGTGGATGGTTCCCACTTTCGAGCTCGGTTCATCGATGTGTTTAAATATTACAGGTTTTCGGTAACGAATGTAAAAACAGTGCATGCTTGGTTTAACAACCAGATGCAGTTCTGGCAGAATCAGTTCAATTTCGCCGTGTGGTGCGACACGATCGGATGCAACGTGACGTTGAACGAAACTTGTCGCGATGAAATGAGTCGGTCCGTGTTCTCATTTCACGTCTATTACCAGATCAGATGCATCCTGAAAGAGATCGGCACACCGATTCCACAGGACAAGGCGTGGGATGCATCGAACAATCCGTCAATTGGCGGGCTTACGAACGTATTTGTGATGAATTTGAAATAAATCCGAAAACGGCGTTTGGGCATTCCCATCGTTCATAATATGGCTCCCATGGAAGCCAGCGAGATGTTGGAAGAATAGGATGGCAAAAGGTATGCGAATGCTTACGTCACAAGTAATGAGTGGAGAGACGATCTCATGGCTTTTGACAACAGCAAGGATTACCGCATTTGGAGGTTTCAGCAGGGACCGGAAGACGATTGGAAAAAATTGATGTTGGATAATTCGCGTGCGGGTGTCGTCAGATTGAACGATTCCATTCGAACCTATGTGTGGGTCATCTTCGGCGTGCAATCGCAAACGCTTTCCGGCATCACCGGCAAAGGAACGGCTTACAACACGCAGAAACAATTCGTGTCGAACGTCGAGGATGCCACCGTGTCGCCGGTGGATTTACCGACGTCCATCAAACGTTACCAAGACACGCTGCAAAACGCCCTGTCCAAAGTCAACTACGTTTTCGGCGTGGGGTTGTACATGGCTCTGAGCGACATGCGACTGAGGATCCATAAAGTGGTGGGCTACAACAACGAAATTGTTATCGCCACCGCCGATCAGAAACTAGGCGCTAATCCCGATATCAACGTCAGTCATGTCACAGCACCGACTCACACTGGCGAAAATGGGTATAGTGACACCACCATCACCGGAGCCAAGCGTTCAACCCGCACCTGCCCCACACCTATCGACACTCACGGTGGTTGAAAATCAGCAACACATCGATCATAAAACAGCACTTGTGGTCAGTGGAATCGCTGTCGGGTTGTGCCTTATCGGATTAAAAATTCTTTAGCGGAGACGTACAACAGGCCGGCCACGGCCACGGCAAACGCCCACAAGTTTTGACTCAACATCGTGACCGTTTTCGATAAGAATCCTAACAACCCGGAGACGATACTGCCTAGGATACCCGAAAGGGCTTCCGCGGCTTTCCCCGCCAGTTTCGCGAAGGCTTGCCCCAGGTATTTTAAATGTTGTTCAATCCATTCTTTAACACCTTTCTTGCCACTAGGCGGTAGGGGACTAGGTGAGAGATGACTAAAGTCGAAATGATGAACCTGAGTGCGGTCAATAGGCTAGCGATGGTGATCCCTTGTTCTCTGAATAACGTTTATGCCTTTCGGCTAACGTGGTGTCTTCCTTGAGGACTCGGTTGATGGTTTTGCGAATGCAGTTGATTTCGGATCGAAGCCCTTCTCTGTTGTGCGACGCCGCTTCTTATCGGGTCGATCTTTCGTCTTGCAAGTGACGTAGCCTTTCCTCGATCCGACATCGGCTGATCTCATCGTCGTCATCATCCGCATGTTCAAGTTTTGTTTTCTCATAAGCGATACGATCGTAGAGTTCTTTCAGTTTGGCCATGTTGTCTATGAGCGATCCACGAATGGTTTGCCAGGCCTTGTCTAGCCCTCTCAGTTCCCGAACGGTAAATTCCAGCTCCAGTGTTTCTAATGCGGTATCATTTAAGGTGGACAATACATCGTCGAGCCCGTTTGAAGCTTCTTGAGCGCGTTGCGGCACGTCTCTCAAATCATCATTTCGGTCGATTGCACTTACCGTGGCGGTCTTCGCGGAAATATTTTGTCGATAGCCGACTATATTTAATTTGTCGCGGATAAAGTGGGCACGTGGCGACTGGACAGTGTAGACAAGGCAAGAAGTTTTCTCGTACGGGAATTCATGAGATAGAGGTCTGGAGCATCTTTCAGTCGCAGTATCCCTCTATCATCGATTTCAAACTTGGAATAGTCACGCTCAAGATTTTCCTTTCGCCCTATGGTATCGTTATAATCATTCACAGCCGTTTTTAACAGGTTATCGCCTATGCTTTCACGCGTTAATGAGTCGTCTTGTTCATCGAGCAATGGGGTTTTATCACCCAAATCGTTCATTGGAATATTTTCACCAGCCATGTTTCTGCTCTATTAAAGATATAAAACATACTTTCAATATAAACGATGTTGTCGGCATACGGACAAAAACAAAACCCTTTCCGAGGATTGAGGGAACACCTGGGGTCAAAGCCAATCCGTGACGATTACCAATAATACGAGTACGATCGATGAAAACCAAATGCTGTTGGTGCGCTTTCCTAATCTGGGCATGAACGACGTCATCGTCCTGGGGATGGCTCGCCTGTTTTTTTCAGATCAGTTTGGATTCCAATGATGACAAAAGAGAAATCGTGACAAACATTGGTCGAGCCATCATGAAAAAAAACGATGATTAAAAATAAGCGGGTCTGAGATTCTGAGCATCGACGACAGGGATGTGTTTTTCAGTTACAGGGACGTAGACGAAGCCATGCACGAGTATTATCTCGTCACCGGAAAACGATTAGCACCCCTGGGCGACATGCCAACAATCTCGCAGTATTACACACCCTACAAGGGTCAGAAAGATCGTGAGTTGACCTTCGTGGCATTAGGTTTTGCAGCAATGGTGTTGATCGTCAATCAATTAGACTAACGTATATCTAAGTGCATATAGCGAAGATGAGACGCGCTCTGTATCGATGCAAATACCTGCTTCTGGGAAAAGCCGAGACTTGCGGCAAGAAATGCAGGACCGAGTACTGCGGGATAGACATGATGTCTATCAGAAGCGGTTTCGCGAACTACACATGTTAGGTATGCAGTATTGGAGTGAAATGTCATTATGGTTTGTGCAAAGCCCACGGAACAGACATGGTCCGAAACCAACTTATTTATGATAAGAAAAAAGATTATCTCAATGAACGTAACCGACTACTCAGAATAAAAATGTAAAAAAAAATTGTGAGCTAGTATTACAAAAAAATAATAATAAAAAAAAATCAATTTCGGGGAACAGAATTAACCCAAAATAAAACCATTAGGGTACCCCTGTACTCGTACCCCGATTATAAATACTACTCCACTAAGTCTGTGATATTACCTTGCAAGATACCCTACATTTGACAACCTTGGTCTTTAAGTCATATTCTCCATCTAATTCCAGAGCCAAGGTCCCACCAGGCCCCATTCAGACCCAGGCTGTGCTTCAGGCCAAGCGGTACACGGCCAACGAAGCTGTAAAGTGCGGGATTGTGGACCAAGTGGCTGACCAATCACAGCTGGTCAACACAGCTGTACTGATGGCCAACGATTTTCTCGGGAAACATGGACTAAAGCGAGAGACTTTGCATAGCTTCAAGAAGGACTTGTACATCTCTGTAGTCCAAACCTATAGTGGTCAAGTGCGTTCTTGAGTGTGCAGATTTCTATTTGGGATATGATTGAAAGATTGACATATATACTACTGGATTAACGTAACTGTACATTATTTGACGTTACGCCATTTTATAATGTAAAAAGATAATAAAATGATTTGTGGTGTTTTACTGAATCACTGTTTAACTGTTGACTGGATAATATCGAAATCTGTATGATTTGACACTATGCATCATGACACGCCCTTGAAGAGATGTGCAGTCAAAAGTCAGTTCACAAATTCAGCAGCGCTTGTCCCAATTCAGTTGACGTCAATGGTTGATTGTGGTCTTGACATAAACGTCGCTCCATTTCATCCCAAGCATGCTTGATAGGGGACAGGTCCGGATAGGAGAAACAGATGGCCAGGGGAGTACCGGAATGTCCTTCTGTCTCAGGAAATCTGTCACAACACGTGCGATATTATGATGCTGAACCGTGAAGTTACGTCTCTGTCCTTGAATGAACGACTGTCCTGGTCTCAGATGAAGCCCATAGTATACAATGACGTCCTGTCTGACTCTCTCGGAAGACATACCCGTGAAGGTCCGGGTTAGAATATTGGCCTTCAGTAATCCATGCTTGTCGTAAGAGGCGACTAACAGGATCGGGTGCTCGCTGTCTTGGTTGACACATGTCATCGTTTCCCAATTGCGCAGATCGATGCTGTTGATCGCTGGATTGTCTGGTTCAGACTCGATTTATTTACAGAAAGCCGCCATGTAGCTGGAATATTGCTGAGTGCGGCGTAAAACTAAACCAACTCACTCTCGGAAGCCATGAAATGAGGATGGCCTAAAGGTTTTGCAGTTCTTGGTTCAGGGCGGTACATGGTTTGCACGGCCTTGTCGATATCTATTTGGTTTCTTGGGGTGACACTGGATAAGAGTACCACAGCTCTGTGCAAGCATAGTATACAATACATTATGTGCACCTATCAGTTCTTTTGCCCACCCGCTGAAATCTGTAAAATCGAATTGAACTAAAAAATAATGACCTTGAAGATAAGGTCAAGGTCACCCAAATAAACTGGTGTCTGCGTAATCCCCCAATGTATGCTGTTGCCAAATTTGAAGACATTTGGTACAACAGTCCATGAGATGCCGCGTTAAGAAGAGTTTGAAAAGTGTTCAAAATGTCAATATCACCTTTGTTCTTTGTGAGACCTGGTGTGACCTTTTTGCCATCAAGGGAAAGACAAACACTGGTATCACTTGTTCGTTGGGACAAAGTTTGTGCCACCTTCTCTGAAAATCCAGTTGGTGTCTTCTGTGGCCATTCACCATTATATGGGTCGAATTCTCGCAAAGTGTCTTCGCTGGGAATTGCTAATATGATATCTGCCAAGTTGGTGTCGAAATGACCTGGTACAGAATCTCCCGTCAGCAGTGACCCCATACATTTCCAGCCGCGTAAAAGCCTGATAGCCATTCCTCCGCACTTTGTCAAAAACAGTTTCCAAAAGCATTTCGATCTCCACGAATATCTAACTTGGTTCAGAGTACTTGATGACAGTGCCCTTACTGTTTCAGATATTATTGCATTAGTTAGTCCTTCAGTAGGAAGCCTATCTGAAAGAACAGCAGTAAAAAGATTATGTAGGCAGTCGGAATCTCCCTCATGAGCAAGTTTTTCTGAACTTTGAGAAACGTGTCAACCAAATCATTTACATCAGGAGGGGCATTTTCCTTTTGCAGAATCAATGTCAATTTCCACATGTTCAAGTGATTTCTGTACGCTCTCAACTAACTCACCACATCGGTCACAAGTTGGGGTTCCACTCAGGTTATGATGTTCACATAATTCAAGTTATTGTCAGTTTTCCCACATTTTTCCCACAGCAAGTATCCAGACAAATTTCGAAAAGAGCATGATGCGTATGAAATGTTTGTTTCCCCAAAGGTATGTTCTTGAGCTTCTACATTGTTTGAAATTGACGATTGATTGAATGAATAATTGTCTTTGATGGGTGATGCATCAACTTCACTGTCACTGTCCATTGCAGTTCCTTCAATTTCTTGGGGGCGGTGGGGTAGCCTAGTGGTTAAAGCGTTGGCTCGTCACGCCGAAGACCCGGGTTCGATTCCCACATGGGCACAATGTGTTAAGCCCATTTTCTGGTGTCCCCCGCCGTGATATTGCTGGAATATTGTTAAAAGCGGCTTAAAACTAAACTCAGTCAGTCAGTCAGTTCAATTTCTTGCAAGGGGTGCTGTGCTCTGGCCTTGTGTTTCCATGCACAGTAAGAAACGTCCTCTTCTGTGAGCTTTTAACCCTGTTCAGCGTCAGTCTATACCTTTTACGTCCCATATTTCACAATGCTAAGATCTGAAAAGGAAAAAGCATGTTAAATAAGTTTAATACAAGAGACAACCCAAACGGTACAAAAAAGGACTTGACCCCCCCATGTCTGACTGAAACACTCATCACATTTGTCTGTACAGCACATCCCACAGCTCTTAAATAATTCAAAACAAGCATTCTCACTAAAGTGACATAATCCCCCGCCGCAAATTATCAAATCAAACTTATAAAGTAATGAAAGTTTAAGTAGTCCAGGAGGAGGCAGCTGAAAAATTTCAAATCGTAGCCTCCCCAGTACTGATTTTGTTTGACACTATTTTCAGTTAGTATGATGTCTTGGGCTCATGAAAAGGCCTTCAATACTCTCAGATTGTGGTATCAGGGTTTTTTTACAGGCCATTATATGTGGTGGGGGTCTGCGAGCATTTTCGTCACATTTGGTTTGCTGCCCGACAACACCTCAAAGTTAATCATTAATAGTTTTACTACTATCAATCTGATCACTTTCATTTTCAGTTCTATGCATCTGCGCCTTCCCTAGATAACATGCAGGTAAAACGTTAAAGTCCCCTTGTGACCTTGAAATGAAGGTCAAGGTCAAGTTCACCAAACCTGACTTGGATCTTTGTTATACTGTGATGAACCTAGGTACCAATTATGAAAAGAATCTAGTGAACGGTTCTTAAGATATTCCAATTCGTACGGACGGACGAACGGGGGGAGGGAGCCTAATACTATATCCCCCGCTTCGCGCGGCGGGGGATAATTAAAATTAACAAGATAGCCTGTTATCCCTTTGTCACCTGCAAACAGACGTAAACGAACATTCCCGATATACCCCCATCACAACTGTACTCGTGATGTAAACAAAATACTCGTTCACTGCTACATATCTTAGGCACAAAAGTTTTCTATACATTCTCAACAAAGACACTGTATCACAAGCTTTCGGTCCGGCTTGGCTCGGGCTCTCACAAACAACTTAAACCTCACTCATGTATCTTGATTTGTGTTTGAATCCCCATGTAAAGATAACTGGTCCGTGAGAGTGATTCCACATGATCGATATGGAAGGGGTTTGTTATGGTGTGGGGTGGGACCACGATGACGGGCAGGACGGATCTCCATATCTGCCATGGGAGAGTCACTGGTGTCTACTACCGTGACCACATCATCAGTTTTAACCAGTTTGTGACATTTGGGTTATCGCCCCTGGTGAACTTCGCATTGTCTACAAATAACATCTGCATCGTTATCAAAGTTAATATGTTGAAAACTGTTGCTAGACATCCTTATTTCCACATGAACATTGTTTCCTAATGACAATTAAAGATACGTTTGCTTTTATTTGTCTCATCTTTTCAATATCCCCTACTTTTTTGTGAGCAGTATAGTTGGAATGATGCTGAATGTGGCGTTAAAGAACAAACCAACAAACCACCTTTTACCTTTGGGTAAGTGCAACTGTAGGCATGGCATCGGACGTATTTTGTGCTAGACAGGCATGTTACGTCGATCTTCTTGTCCCACATATCTCCGAGATTGAGTAAGTGAGTTTAGTTTCACGCCGCTTTTAGCACTATTCCAGCTAACGGGACCAGAAATGGGCTTCACACATTGTACCCGTGTTGGGAATCGAACCCGGGTCTTCGGCGTGATGATCGAACGCTTTAACCACTAGGCTAGCCCACCGCCCCTCCGAAATTGACGTTTGAAAAGAATTCCTACATGTTGATGTATGTTTGCTGTGAATATAAGGTACAGGTATGAAAATGGTGGGGTATCATATATGATCATATGATCTTTTTTTTATACATGATTGAATTTCAACGAAATATAGAGTGATGAAGTAGACACATAATCTTCAGTTTGTCGCCCCTGGCGACGCCGTCCATATGTTACAGTCAGATTGTGAAATGACTAAAAATTTCAGTCAATTCGTGAAATGACTAAGAGGACCAGCCATTTCGCTATTGGCTATATAAATAGGTTTGGACTTTTCCATCAAATTTGAAATAAATGTGCTTGATAACGATTGCCAATGTTCGTGATGCACGAAACAAATCGCCAAAACGCATTTTGTGGCCCCGACTCTCAGAAACACGAAACGCATGTCTTAGTAGTCAGATACATGGGAAAGATCGTGCGAAAAATCAGTATAAATGGCCTGTCCAACACAGCAATATCACTGCACATAAAGTCACACAGAGAGAATGCCAAGGTTAACCAGGAAGAAAGAGAACCAGCAGTAGGGGTAGTTGAATGGCTGACCCTCTTAGTTATTTCACGAAATGATTGATTTCACAATCTGACTGTAACCCATACACCGTGTGGGGTCGGTCGGTAGCCAGGATAGCCATAGATACAATGGAATCGGGAAGCCCATTTCTGGTGTTCCCCTTCGTAAGATTGGTTGTTGTGCAACATCTGCACCAAGTGCGATGCCCATTGGTGGTATCGCTGGGCGGATATTGCAAGAATGTTGCTACAAGCTTCGAAAATCTAGGCCCTGATGTTTTCAAAGACCAGCTGTTCCAAACGGCAATGTCGATGTCTACTTCATTTTACATTGTGACAAGGGTTCTGATGAAACAACACGTTTCGTTGTCAAGTTGGAGCTTTATCAACACAAGTACTGTGGATCTGTCCCTCTGGCTGTCACTCGAGAGTGAGTGAATGGATATATACTGAGTCAAAAAAGAAACTTCACAAAATGTAATTTGAAAAATAATGAATAATTTTTCTCTGATGATACATCTAGGTATCCGAAATGGGATCCCTATCTTTCGACTCTAGAAAAACGATAGCAAAACCCACTCAAACCCATCCATTCCTCGTGCAAATGACGTTAGTGCCAAATCAGGTTTTGCACGTGCAGTCGATCACGTGATCTTTGCATCGAAGTTTTCTTCATATGCACGTGTTTGCATTGGCCTCAAGAATTGAAAAAACACTTACAAACCACAGTTGAAATGCCACGATTGTCAAATGCGCAACGTGAACGTGCCGTTGGCATGTTGCAAGCGGGAAGATCAGTTATTGACGTCGCAAGAGCAGTGGGATGCAGCCGTCGTACTGTGTATGACTTGCGAGGTCGTTTACAACAAACAGGCACCACTTCTGATCGCCCAACGTCGGGTCGTCCTCGTGAGACGTCACGAGAAGACCGTCAAATCGTCCTACGTCACCTACGTGACAGATTTCTGCCGGCTACATGAACCAGGGCTGAGGTTCGACTGTCCTCACAGACCATTCGAAATCGGTTGCAGGCTGCCAATCTCCAATCTCGACGTCCATATTGTGACTTGACATTCTGTATACCCATGTTTTGGAACGGCGGTGTAGCCTAATGGAACTGATTATGGCACTGTCAGTGTATCGAGTACATCACACAGATTTCAGCAATGAAATAATAACAATTTAACCATCTTACCATCTCTTGTTCTTTTATAATGCCCTGAAGAAAGAATGTGAAGTTTCTTTTTTGACTCAGTATATATTCTAATATCGTTGTGACAGACTGAGTACTCGATTTTTTTACTCCTGTTACAGTCAGATTACGGTCGTCCATTTATGTGTGTGTATCAAGTTGCACGGAATGTCGTGTTTCGTTTCAGTACCGCCAATCCTAAATGTAACTACCCGGAGAAGATAGACGATGTCAGGTTCGTTCATGTTGTGTAGAAGACTAGCGGGTTCAAGTAAAATACTGCACAAATGTATGCAGCATGGGTGGAATGCGAAGCCATTGCCATCTCTCGCACATCCATTATGTGGGAGGACAATGTCGACAGCGTTTTCTGGCTCGTTACTTGACCTGAATTTTCAAGACGAAGGAATGGCTGTGGTTACTATGAAAAGTGGGCAGAACACTCTACAACCTAAAGCGATGGAAGAATGGCACCAAGCTCTGGATGCAGTCGAACAGTAGGGACATTTAAGACAGATTCTGAAGCATTAGACTGAAGTTAAGATGTCCGTGTTCTTAGCTTTAAGTGTTTAAGTACAGCTCCACGTAAGATATTACATTAAACAACAGTGTACATTACTGTACCATCAATATTTAATAAGTTACATGTGATGTTTAAGGCATGTAGAATGTAAAATTAATATGAATTTGATAATATTACTATGTGAAATTATTTTTGTGTTTCCATATGATTTTCATGAAATGTCTTTCAAATATTTCCCCCTTGAACTAGATTGACTACTTTTTTTCAGAAACTCTGAATGCCGTGCATTAGTGACAACAGGTAATGAGAAGTTCTTCTCTAATGGCCTTGATCTTGATCATATGAAGACCTTCACAGACCAAGAGCGTCAACTGGCGGAGTACCTTGATGAACTTAACAAACTCTGTGTACGTCTCCTGCTGTTTCCTCTTCCCACAGTAGCAGCGATCAGTGGTATGTGTCTTAATCTTCGTCAATAACATGCAGAGACTGATTTAACTAGGGCTAGCTATCGAGATTGATAATCGATTATCACTGACTGATTTAACACTTTAAGGGGTAGTGGGGTAGCCTCGTGGGAAAGTGTTGGCTCATCACAATGAATACCCGGGTTTGATTCCCCACTTGGCTAGAATGTGTGGAAACTTTGTTCAAGCAAAGTTAACCTAGCAACATAATTTGTGACCTGTGAAACTGAAAAGTAATAGATGTCCTGTGTATAACATCGGTGTGATATATATTTTTTGATAATGAGTATGGTTGGTTTGGTACTGTCTTCATCAATCTATAATCATGAGGGATAAAATAAAATGATGCATGCCTTGGATATATATCACTGGTGAAACAAGAAAAAATTATGAGGACAAATCTAGGGAATTTCACTAGTGTTTCAGTGTTATTATATTTCCAGGCCATGCTTTTGCCGGTGGTGCTGTCGTGGCGTTTGCCCACGACCTGCGTGTCATGCGACGGGACAAGGGATGGATGTGTCTGAACGAGATTCTCATAAACTTCAGCTTCCCTCCTGTCCTGTTGGCCATGATCAGGCATGTAATGGAGTAAACTGTATCATGAACCTTTGATTCAAAAATATTTCGGTTTTAACTCCATGTAATGATGTTGTGGTACGACAAATTTGACGAGCTGTAAGGGAGCATACATTTTGTTATTATGGAAATTGTTTTCAGAATGATCTCCCAAATCTGTTGGGCCAATATTAATAAATACATTGTAATATACTCTCGGGAGTATTGTTTATTTTAACAGTATTTATAGAATATCAATGTAAGGTAATTTATTACCTTGAATGATACTGCAGCAAATCTTAATGCTCAGATGCCAGTATTTGGCCATAGTCTATAGTCTATTCTAATTTGAATTAAAAATTTAAAAAATCTCAGAATTTACAAAAAGATGAAAGAGTAAAAAGATCCAGAAATCATAATTTTTTCTGCTCTAGTTTTCATGCTGACACATGTGGAATCCTAGATCATCTCATAAAGATTAGTAAGAAAGATCTCGGGCAGCTAAGTCTGTGATATTACCTTGCAAGATACTCTTCATTTGGAACCTTTGTCTTTAAGTCATATTCTCCATCTATTTCCAGAGCCAAGGTCCCACCAGGCCCCATTCAGACCCAGGCTGTGCTTCAGGCCAAGCGGTACACGGCCGACGAAGCTGTAAAGTGTGGGATAGTGGACCAAGTGGCTGACCAATCACAGCTGGTCAACACAGCTGTACAGATGGCCAACGAGTTTCTCGGGAAACATGGACTAAAGCGAGAGACTTTGCATAGCTTCAAGAAGGACTTGTACAGCCCTGTACTCCAAACCTACAGTGGTCCACTGCCTTGAGTGTGCTGATTTCTGTTTGGGAAATGACTGAAAGATTGACGCATAGATCCACTGAGATTGGGTTATGCCAATGGAAAGGGAAAATATATTTGTTTTTTTCCCTACCGTTGCATATAAACAGACAGATTAAATAGATGAAAAATAAACAAATGGTTTGTGTAATATTGTATTAGATATTGCACTTCATTGGAGATCGAAGGGCAGAAGGGTCAATGGGGTAGCATAGTGGTTAAAGCGTTCACTTGTTATGCTGAAGAACTGGGTTCGATTCCTCACATGGGTACAATATGTAAAGACCATTTCTGTTGTCCCCTTCCATGATATTGTAAATCTTACCTCACTCACTCACTCACTCCAAGGGCAGAATAGTCTCCAGGGTGCTGTTGTACAAAACATCCTTAGCGCTTCAACTGTTGTTGGTCTATCATATCAAAGGTATTCCCTTATCGCTACGATTGCTTTGTAGAACAGCACCCACAATCCTAGGATCATTGACTAAGGAGATGCCGAGTTATGTCTGTAATCGACTGTCTTACAATACTGTAAGACAATCGATTACGGACATAACTACTTTATTTTCTCCTCTGTCCATCCCTTTCTGCAATGCTAAAGGTCTAAATGAAGGTCTCAGTTTATGAATTACCGATCTCACTTGGGCTAATTTTCAATTTCATAGGAATTATTTGTTTCTTTCAACATTATATATATATATATTCAGAGACTAAGGGTTAGTTTAAGTGGGGCGGTGGGGTAGCCTAATGGTTAAAGCGTTGGCTCGTCACGCCGAAGACCCGGGTTCGAATCCCCACATGGGCACAATGTGTGAAGCCCATTTCTGGTGTCCCCCACCCTGATGTTGGAATGTTGCTAAAAGCGGCGTAAAACCAGTCAGTCAGTTTAAGTCTGTATTTACAGATACTGTTAAACAAAGCAATCTTAGTGCTAAGGTTATCGTAAGTGATAGACTTGCAACTCTCATGGTGCTAAGGTTGCTTTGTTCAATAGTTTGACTGTGGTTGAGGGCAGCATGTATTCACTTAAAACTAATCAGTAAATGTTTAGCTCACCTGACTGAAAAACAAGTGTTTGTCCATTTTGTGTCATCCATTATGAAAACTTACTCAAGGTCATTACTGAACCATTTTTGTGGGTATGAAGTCTTGGTTGGTAATGGAACTGAGCACACATGTTCTGGGATTTTGTTGGAATGTCATACATTTTTCCTTTGGTTAACCTTTTTCTTTTAATCATCGGGAGCTGAAACTTCATGTGGCCATTACTCAGATGTGTTGATGCTGTATGTAATGAAATTTGGTTCTGTTCATGTTCTATTTTTGTTGCTTTTATATTTTGACCTCTAATGGGCGATGGGTAGCCGAGGTCAGAGCGTTCACTCATCCGGCTGAAGACGTTTTCCGTTTTTCGTGGGCAGTTGATCCAAATAGGAAGATAATAGAAGCTACAAGACTTTTATGAATCAAATCCTTTGGATGTAACAATGAATGGATGGCTTTGGTACACTGATTATACTAGCAGTGTCACGAATAATACTGAGCCTACATTTACTTAGACTGAACAGGCGGTAGGGTAGCCTAGTGGTTAAACTGTTGGCTCGTCACGCCGAAGACCCGGTTCGATTCCCCACATGGGCACAATGTGTGAAGGCCATTTCTCGTGTCCCCTGCCGAGATGTTGCTGGAATATTGAAAAAGCAGCATAAAACCATACTCATTCTCTCCCTCTGTTGATACAGCACTTTAACCATGCTCCCAAATGCATTTCCTGGGCATGTGGAACTTTTAAGCACAATCCCAGTGTGCAAAATGTACGCTGGTCCTAGGGTCCCTGGCTTGTAAAAAATCACCAGGACCACTAAATGAAGAGTTTGCAGTGGTCTGAGTGGCCAGTGAATTTTGTATTGACAGTTAAGTAAATGTTTAAATGTTGTTTTGGACCAATGAAGTACAGACAGGACCACTAATTATTGTCCACTCACTGGTCCTGTGATCTAGTGGGAAATTGTGAAAGGTTTCTTTCCCTGCAATCCCCTGAGAAACAGCGGAACCAGGAAGCTGAAACTCTGTATGTTTGTTTCAACCAGTGATACCACCTGAATTTGTTCAAGTACTTCAAATTGGATACAATTATATAAATTCCAATCAGGCTGAGTGGGTTAGGTCCCTGAGTTTGTTTGCTGACGATTTGGTGTCACACTCTGACGTCTGGGTTTGAATCTTGAATGAAACTCAACCCCACTTCACTGACAGAGTGTAATCTCAAATATAAACTTTTACTATTTCTAAATGGTATTGTGTATTCATAGGTCAGGGGGTGTAATGACTAATGGTAAAATATCAGTTTTCAAGACAGGTCACTTTTTGCAGGCAACATCCTTGTAGAAAAGGATGTTTGAAAAACACATTTTCCCTGGAGTATTCTTCTTTAACTTGGTACAGATTTTATAAGGTACCCATAAACATATGGGCATGCACTAGTCTTCAATGACCCATGCTTGTCATCAGCCACTAACGGGATCTGCTAGTTATGGTCAATAATGTGGTGGAGGCCCCAGGAGTCCCCGGGTATAATTGGTCTTCGGCAACCCATGCTTGTCGTAGGAGGCGACTAACGGGATCGCGTGGTCAGGCTCGCTGACATGGTTGACACATGTCGTCGTATCCCGTTTGTGTAGATGCTCATGCGGTTGATCATTGATCACTGGATTGTCTGGTCCAGACTTGATTATTTACAAACCGCCGCCATATAGCTGGAAGATTGGTGAATGCAGCGTTAAACAACAACTAAACAGTAATATGGTGGATGCATGTGATCGTATCCGAGTTGGGTAGATCGGTGCACATGATGCTAGTCCCTTCAGGCTTCATTGTCTGGTCATGCCTGACGGGGATGAAGTGGTCAGGCTGGTTGACTTGTTTGATGGGTTGATGCTAGTCCCTTCAGGCTTCATTGTCTGGTCATGCTTGATGGGGATCAGGTGGTCAGGCTGGTTGACTTGTTTGATGGGTTGATGCTAGTCCCTTCAGGCTTCATTGTCTGGTCATGCCTGACCGGGATCAGGTGGTCAGGCTGGTTGACTTGTTTGATGTATTGATGCTAGTCCCTTCAGGCTTCATTGTCTGGTCATGCCTGACGGGGATGAAGAGGTCAGGCTGGTTGACTTGTTTGATGGGTTGATGCTAGTCCCTTCAGGCTTCATTGTCTGGTCATGCTTGATGGGGATCAGGTGGTCAGGCTGGTTGACTTGTTTGATGGGTTGATGCTAGTCCCTCTTTAGGCTTTATTGTCTGGTCATGCCTGACGGGGATCAGGTGGTCAGGCTGGTTGACTTGTTTGATGGGTTGATGCTAGTCCCTTCAGGCTTCATTGTCTGGTCATGCCTGACCGGGATGAGGTGGTCAGGCTGGTTGACTTGTTTGATGTATTGATGCTAGTCCCTTCAGGCTTCATTGTCTGGTCATGCCTGACGGGGATGAAGAGGTCAGGCTGGTTGACTTGTTTGATGGGTTGATGCTAGTCCCTTCAGGCTTCATTGTCTGGTCATGCTTGATGGGGATCAGGTGGTCAGGCTGGTTGACTTGTTTGATGGGTTGATGCTAGTCCCTCTTTAGGCTTTATTGTCTGGTCATGCCTGACGGGGATCAGGTGGTCAGGCTGGTTGACTTGTTTGATGTATTGGTGCTAGTCCCTTCAGGCTTCATTGTCTGGTCATGCCTGACCGGGATCAGGTGGTCAGGCTGGTTGACTTGTTTGATGTATTGATGTTAGTCCCTTCAGGCTTCATTGTCTGGTCATACCTGACCGGGATCAGGTGGTCAGGCTGGTTGACTTGTTTGATGTATTGATGCTAGTCCCTTCAGGCTTCATTGTCTGGTCATGCCTGACCGGGATCAGGTGGTCAGGCTGGTTGACTTGTTTGATGTATTGATGCTAGTCCCTTCAGGCTTCATTGTCTGGTCATGCCTGACCGGGATGAGGTGGTCAGGCTGGTTGACTTGTTTGATGGGTTGATGCTAGTCCCTTCAGGCTTCATTGTCTGGTCATGCCTGACCGGGATCAGGTGGTCAGGCTGGTTGACTTGTTTGATGTATTGATGCTAGTCCCTTCAGGCTTCATTGTCTGGTCATGCCTGACCGGGATGAGGTGGTCAGGCTGGTTGACTTGTTTGATGTATTGATGCTAGTCCCTTCAGGCTTCATTGTCTGGTCATGCCTGACCGGGATCAGGTGGTCAGCCTGGTTGACTTGTTTGATGTATTGATGCTAGTCTCTTCAGGCTTCATTGTCTGGTCCAGATGGGATTATATCTGGAATGGTGTGTGGCGTTACACAGTAAACAAAACCCAAATGAGGTAGAAGTGTCATGCAATTAAATTATATTTTCACAGAGTGATGTAGCTCTATTTATTAGAGATCGCACAGCTGGACTATTACTGCTTGAAGTGTTACACTGCAGTAAAAAAACAGAAGGATTAGAAAGGAAAGAAACATAGGCGTGGATATGTACAGTCCGTTTGAGTCAGAAACGGACGGATGAATTGCAAATTTTATCATTGTACAAAATTGCCACATAAATATAAATAGTACACATGTTTAACATTTACGAATACCCAACAGCTTTCTTATATTTGAAAATTACAGGTGTTAGAGAAGCACGTGCACAAATGTCCACCAAGTTATTGATTCATTAACCTGTGCTGTGCCGTCTCCATCCTTTCTCGCACACCTGGCTGTCCCTTTCTCTGCACTCCTCCCTCGTAACAAATAGTGAACTGTGTCAAAATTTTAATGATAGTTTCTTAAAGAACTTTTTTGGTGGTGTCCGGAAAATTTTCAAATATAAGAAAGCTGTTGGGTATTAGTAAATGATAAACGTGTACTATTTATATTTATGTGGCAATTTTTTACATTGATAAAATTTGCAATTCATCGGTCCGTTTCTGACTCAAACGGACTGTAGGTACTAATAGAAGAAAAACCGATATGTGACGCACAATCGCTGGAGAGCATTTCCAGAAAGCAGGAATCCCTAGCCATAAACGGTGTGAGTGGCGGATATAGAGAGTGAGTGAGTGAATATGTGTTTACACCGCTTTTAGAAATATCGCAGCAATACCACGGCCCATAAAGGGGCTTCACGCATTGTACCCATGTGAGGAATCGAACCGGGTCGTCGGCGTGACGAGCGGACGCTTCAACCATTAGGCTACCTCGCCGCTCCGGAGATCACATTGGTGATACAATCTCATGTACGAAGTCGGGATTAGAACTGATCTTCAGCTACACTAACAACCGTAAGAGGCGACTAACGGGAACAGGTTGTCAGGCTGGTTGACTTGTTTGATGTATTGATTCAACTGCTGTAGGTCATGATTTCAATCTTTGGCTTGTGTGGTTCAGACTTGATTATTTACTTAGCGGGGTCATATTGGTGGAATATTGCGGGCGCAGCGTTTAACAGCAATCGCATTTGTACAATATTATTTTTGTAGGTTGACTTCGGTTGTACTCAAATTTACAAGGGACGGTGCGGTAGCCTAGTGGTTAAAGCGTTCGCTCGTCACTTCGAAGACCCGGGTTCGATTCCCCTTATGGGTACAAAGTGTGAAGCCCACCCCTGCTGTCCCCCGCCGTGATGTTGCTGGAATATTGCTAAAAGCGGCGTAAAACCAAACTCACTCACATTTACAGTCTTTAAAAAAGTATTTATTACTTCTTTTTATTTATTTTATACCACACTTTATCCCTGTGTTTCTCATCGCCCTACCGAGCCTTCTAATTTTATTGCCGACCCCCCATTCCCCACCCCCGCAAAAAACTTTCCTTTTTTTCATTCCAACACCGCCGACTCGAACCTAAAACGTACCGCCTCGTCATATAAAATGTTTATCTTTTAATCAGTCGCTGTCACAAGTCCAAAGAACGCGAGAAGTTGCAATAAGGATTACAATAAATGATAATCAAGAACATTATCAGATACTTTTGTCTTCAATAAGTTTTTTTTTCCCTACCGACCGACCCATATTCAGAATTTTGGTGGCTTTACGTGAAACACAATTAGAAAAAATGATGCCCCCGTAATCATTTCGTAATTTCGACTTCCACTAGTTTATTACTCTATTCTCGTACTTACAGGTTTAAATATTTTAGAAAACAACATAGTATTGTCGTCGTGCTTTCTGTGGTCAGTGTCTGTATAATACTCGACAGCCCATGTATCCGTGTTCAAGTGCATGTACGTCATTTTCCGGACGGGAAAGCTTGATCTACATTCGCTTTTGTTCTGTGTATAGTTTTTGAGAAACTTGTTATAATGTTTTAAGAATCCTACGCAATGGCAGAGGGGAGATCAGATGCGGATGCTAGACGTCCAATTCAAAGCTTTGTTATCTTCGATACGGAAACAACCGGTCTCCCAAAACAAGAACCGAAAATCACCGAGATGTGTTTTCTGGGAGTCGGTCGAAAATACCTTGAAGGGTCAAAAGTGGCCGTGGGCCCGCGGGTGACGAACCAGCTGCTGTTGTGTGTCGACCCTCGTAAACGTCTAGAACCAGAGGCTGCGTCGATTACAGGTAACATCATTTTCTATATAGCGTCGATGATTTATCGAGCTTTTCACAATGTTTGTTAGTTTATCCACCTTTACAGGGCCTCAGTCAACTCGCCAGGTCCTGACGGATTCGGGTGACAGCACACACAGGTTGACAGAAGTTGTACATTATATGGAGAAGTTGCCTTTCTTGACCTGACCACGCCATACCCATTGCGTTCAATTCAAACCAAACAGATCTATAGGTTACATCGGTGAATGTGGTGGAGATACATTAGCAGTATCACGTGACCCTCGTTTCGTTTCGCCCCAGCAGGGCCTCCTGTCACAAAACAGTACTAAGGTGATCGTAAGCCACTAAAGTAACCTTAGTGCAACGTTAAAGAATGGGAGTTACGGTTAAACATAGTAAAGGTTACTTCGTGAAAGGAGCCCCAGCTCTAACAAGGAAGAGATGTGACCTGTTTCCCCACCTTTAACATTATGGAGATTAGTCAACCAGCTGTCTGATTTAACAGATAAACACTATGTTTATTTACAAAGGCTATACAACAACGTCAGGGGGTTAAAATATGTTCAAAGATAGTAGGCCATGATATTGAAAGTTGATTCATGAATAAAATTTGACTTCCAATGGAATGTTACAGTATGCCTCGCACGATAACTTTCTGCATTACCTCACTATAGGATTTCTCAATGATGAATACGGTTGTTGCGTTGTTGTAACTAAATGGGTAGCCTACGTCGGAGTAGAAGCTACAGGGGGCTACCTTTCCTGATTCCAGGGGTGGGTGAGTGAGTACAGTTTTACACCGCACCAGAAATGGGCTTCTCACAAATGTATCCATGTGGGGAATGGCACCCTTTTGATTCCAGGACAGGCTTGGAACACATTTCCAAATGAACTCACACAAAGTGAACACCTATATCACAGTGTGGTAGTTTGGTATACTTTCTATTTTAAACATTTGTATATACGTAGTACGTGGGACCTACGTGCACACAACGAACTGCCCTTTAACGAATATACCCGTTTGTCATAGTGAAAATTTTCATGGAAATTCAGTAAAAATTGATTTTTCTTTGTAATTTCCGTGCATTAAACATTGATAGGTTTAAGATTAACGGCGTCATGAACAATAATTCTGTATTTATTTTAAGCTGAGAAATCAAAGGTTTCTCCAGGAATGAAAAGAACTAGCCTCTGGGTGTTCAGGTAATTGTAGAATATAGATGCTTGATTGGCATTTTAGAAGATGATATTTGATGAACATAGAGATTTTTCTGGGTTACATCTTTTTATTCTCGAAGAATATAGTTTCGTGAAATACGTACGAGCGTCAACAATGAACAATACAACGGATTACCCCAAATTACTTCTTTTCATTAAAAAGGGTCGAAAAATTGTCGTGTCCTGCAAGGAACATCTTCAATAAATACGAATGACTAAGTATGCGAGAAGCAGAAGATGTGTCAATGCTACACCCAGACCTCGATCGTGGTTCGTTCCCCGGCGACGCCAAAAGATGGTACTTGTTGTTACTCTGCCTAGTTCTCTACCTAGGTGAACACAATGATTGATCAGCTCCAAATGATATGACCGTGTCTGAGTAGGATATCCGACTTGAACTGCAGCATGGATCATTGGATTGTCTGAACCAGACCGATACAGACCGCCGTCTTGTAGCTGGAACCTTGCCGGTGTCGCGTTAACCCCTTATCTGGGACAAAACTATTAAATATCTTATTAAACAGTTCACATACTTGATTTACATGGCAACATGAGTTAAATAAATCTTGCCAATATATATCATCCATAAGTAACTTAAACAAGCAATAAAAAAAAAAGAATACCCAAAACGTTTCTGTTTGCTGGCACTAAAATAATTGGTTCAGGCACACACACACACACACGCGCACGTCTCTGTATAGGTGCAATGACGTAGAACACAACGACAACCCACAACTTCTCCCACCCGCACAGCACCCATTATAGTGGATCGCAGACCCTATTAGTGCTGACAATGATGAAAACAGATGCAATACTGCAGTTTTATTATGTTTCCAGGTCTGGACAATGAAACCTTGGCTGACCAGAAACCTTTCGACACAGATATGGTTCAGCTGATGTCAATCTTTCTCAGTCGTCTGCCGAAACCAGTGTGCCTCGTTGCACACAATGGCGACTGGTTTGACTACCCACTCCTTGTGTCCGAGCTGCGTCAAGTGAGCGGAAAGCTGCAGGGCGATCTCCTCTGTGTGGACAGCATCAAGGCATTCAAGACACTCGAAAATCAGGAAGCAGGCAATGGGCAAAGTCCGGCAAGTAATAGAGAAGTTCCTCAAGGTGATGCTGGGCGTTTGTCGTCGACACCGATTCCAAGGAAACCATCCTATAAATTGGAGGAAGTGTACAGGCGGTGCATTGGAGAAGCGCCCCCAATCTGTCATACAGCAGCAGACGATTGTTTGACCTTGCTCAAGGTCGTGAGAGATTTCTCTCCGGGGTTCTTGGAGTGGGCTGACAAAGAATCGAAATACTTTAGAAATATCCCTCCAATGTACTAATGTATATATGTCGTGATGAAACTTTAATGATAGATACGAGCAGGATTATCCCTCAAATTAAGCATGTTCTTAGGTTTTCTGTTATTTACGGAAATATTGGAATGTCATCATGCATTCCTCAGGGCTGCGTTTTTGTTTCCCATAAATCTCTTGTTATTTACAATAAAGTAGCACACTGTAGTTTCATAATTTTGTCAATAGAATGTTCAGTTATGTCAATGTTTGTAAAAAGTCTTTTCTACAACTTATTCATGATTATTAGTATCAAGAAGCTCCAAATGCGGCATGTGGTGGTAAAAAACAGAGCCTCCTTTCACTAAGCACTAAGGTGATCGTAAGTCACTAAGGTAACCTTAGTGCAATGTTAAAGAATGGGAGTTAACCTTAGTTAAGGTTGATTCATGAAAGGAGACCCAGACCCACGGACACGACCTGTAACAGCTCTTTATCTGGCAGTGGTTACTGCAACGGGGACCCGTGAAGGTCCGGGTTAGAATTGGCCTTCAGTAACCCATGCTTGTCGTAAGAGGCGATGAACCGGATCGGGTGGTCAGGCTCGCTGTCACCGGTTCCCCATTGCGCAGATCGATGCTCATGCTGTTGATCACTGGAGAGTCTGGTCCAGACTCGATTATTAAAAGACCGCCGCCATATAGTTGGAATATTGCTGAGTGCGGCGTAAAACTAAACTCACTCACGCACTCACCGCAACAGGAGTACCTTGACTAGAAGTGATGGTATGGATCACCATAGGTTCCATTTCACCAACAATATAGCTACGGTATCATGTCCTTTACGGCTAGGACGGGATACCCGGGACGGGTGGGTAATGAGTTGGATCCGTGTACCCGTCTCAATACCTGGACCTATTGTGATCATGTGACTAGTAGCTTAAAGGTCACATGCAACCAAAAAATCAAACATTATTAAAACACAATTATCACTTCTTCATGACATATAATATGTATTGCTGATTATGAAAAAAACAAATAAACAAAATTATAAGCGTATAATCGCAAATCAAAAGTGCAATATTTTGTACTTGGGTTTACCTCCCTCGAAACGAAGCAGCCGGGATACCGAACCCAGTCAGAGCGGGTGGGTGTGCACTCAAGTGTAACGGCTGGTTCATTAGCAGATGCCGCCTTCGCGGCTCATTGTGTGTGTATATATAGAAAGTTGGGTTTTGTAAATACATGCTCATTTTTTGTGTATAACATTTTGCGATCAACAGACATCATAACATGTCGTGTGTTCAAGTATCACACCTGCCTGTCTGTGTAATTACATAATGTGACAGAGACCGAACTCGGGCCATAAATCAATGCGTTTTGTTTATGGTGTATAGCCTGATTGGTGTTAAGTTCAAATTGCACGTGGTCAGTGATCGCAGTTGTGTATTGAATATTGTCATTAGCAGACAGGCAGGCAGACACACAGGTGTCAATAAAACAAGACATTGAGTTTTGTCTGTGACAGCGACATATCTATATCACAGTTAGAAATTGTGTCAACTCTAAATAATGACATTGCTTTTAAGTATCGAACTGAGAAAGTGACTCGGTAAGAAGAACGTGTGGTGAAATAGACAAATGAAATTATATAAACAGTTTATTTACTGTCATAACATATAAAAAGCTCGCGCCTGTGAGATATCAACAAAACATTATGAAAATAGCTCACACCAAAGCCTTCACCGAGTATTCACCAGACAGCCCGCTTCCAAGTTGCGCGAACCTATTTCACTGCGCACGTGCTATGAGCGCAGCCCAGCTGTTGAAACCCGTATTCCCCAGAAAAATCTGGGGAAAATTAGTGAAACGTTTGAACTCCGATTTCGCGCGGTTTTTTTCATCGCGTTATTTTTCAACTTTATAAGTTGAATTTGCATTTTTGACGCTTTGTTTCGGTAAGTCCATACCGAAAGGTATCAGAATCTGCAAAGTTGTGTTTTACGTTGCATGTGACCTTTAAACAATGTCATATGCTATTCATTCACGATTTAAGGGTGGTAATGACTTTGAAGATTTAGACATAATTACAGTCACCTCTTTTTAGTATAATGCATACTAGTACATGTACATGTAGTTAGGATATTGAAAAACTATTTTAGCCTCCGAGCTAAAGAATATATTGCCATTTCTTACAATTTCTATATCAGGAATTAACATAACGGGTATCCGGGTAGGGTAGCGTAGGGTAATAGGGGGTGGGGTACACGGGTAGAATATTTGGACCCGTCCCAGCCCTAATGCCCTTAGTGTGTACGTGCAGTTCTAGTTTTTGTTATACAAATACGTGCAAAAAGGGGTACATATCAAAGTAATGATGAAAACTCGAAAAATATTCACATAATTGAAGTAACTATATTTTTCCGATTTAACAAGTTAGATATATAAGCTACCAATGTGGTACCATATGTGGGGAATCGAACCCGGGTCTTCGACGTGACGAGCGAACGCTTTAACCACTAGACTACCCCACCACGCCGAATAAACAAACTAAGGAGGTTGTGTCGTAATATCGCGTATAGTCCTACAATTTGACCCCGAATCTGGGTCGCCTTCTGTCGGTGTCACGGCCAAGAGCAAAGTGCAATTGTGGGAAACAAAATGGCGCATACGTTCAATGCGGGAATAGAGCTAACCTTCACAGATGACAACCTTGCTATTTTACGAATGCGAAATGGCGAAAACAGAATTGACAGAACTTTCACGGAGGCTTTTAACAAGGCGCTGGACACAGTAGAAAGGTATGACAACAGTGGTCCGAGTAAGGACACTTACAATTTTCAAACATCGACCTACCGCTTGTCTAGTCTCTAGCTATTTTTAGCATCGTCATTGAAACTGGGGAAATGGAACAAATATCTCGTGATATTTTTAGTCGACTCATTCTGCCAAGACTCGAAAAAGCTCTGGTATTCAATATCATGATTGGTGTTTTCACTAAACGTGCAAATGCTTTAGTAAAAACGGAGCTCGGGTGGTCAGCCCCGGTGACTCGGCTGGGATTCTAGATCAGAGGTGGTCTCAGTGAGTGAGTGAGTTGGGGTTTACGCCACTTTTAGCAATATTTCAGCAATATAACGGCAGGGGACACCAGAAATGGGCTTCACACATTGTACCGCAGTGGGGAATCGAACCCGGGTCTTCGGCGTGACGAGCGAATAGGTCTCAGAGGGGATCGGGTGGTCAGCCCCGGTGACTCGGCTGGGATTCTCGGGCAGAGCTAGGTCTCAGTGGGGATCGGGTGGTCAGCCTCAGTGACTCGGCTGGGAGTCAGAATACTAGTAGGTCTCAGAGACCCATGCTTGAATAAGACTTAAGTCAGGACCGGGTTGTCCGCCTGGAAGTCTTTACCAACCTGAACGTACACTAACAACTAGTCTCTGAAATGAACATATATTGCAGAAAAAATGATCATAGTGAAAAAAAATATATATATATTTATACATATAATGAAAAGGAGCCCTGAGACTTTCTCCATTTTCAGAGACCCTGAAGCTGTGGAAATCTAGACTTGCTACATTTTCTAGGCTTGCGTGGGATTTCTTGGATATATTTGCTTCAGGGTCTGTATGACAGACTAACCTGAACAGAACCTGTGACGTTGACGGGAGTGACAGGCTGCTCAGGCTACGAACCACTGGCTTGCCAGACAAAGATTCGAACATTCACAGGCCGCAACAATGAGATACTTTACCCTAGTTTAATACATATACCCAACTCCAAGCCGATCAGTATTTGTTTGAAGTGCAGAACGCCAGACAGGGTAACCTCAGGTAAATCTCCAGAAGTAATGCCGCGCAAAACACGATTTAGTCATACGTACGTATTGAAGATAATCCTTTCAAGAATGGACAGTTATCGAGGCTTTTTAATGAAATGAAGTATTTTGGAGTATTGTATTGTTCATTTTGACGTTCGTATTTTCACGAAACTAAACTAACGGGAAAAAGAAACGATACTAAGTCGAAATTAGTGATATTACAAAACGACAAATCACCACTGTGAAACAATAAAGTGGATTTTAATAAAGGTATATGGGCAACATACATATGTTCTACAATTGCCTGAACACCTGGTTCTATTCATTCCCGGGAAATCACTTTAACTCCAGGGGACACCATAAATGGGCTTCACACATTGTACCCATGCATGTGGGAAATCAGACCTGGGTCTTAATTTGGCGTGACGAGCGGCCCCTTTAACCTCACAAGGGTACCTCACCTCCCAACCGGAATCGCCACGGATATGTTAAGATGCCATACAAATGTATCCATGAATAATAAATATAACTTGACAGTGCAGAGGCCCAGATAAGCTGCGTATCCGGGTAAAATACGCATAGAAAGTTTCCATTTACGCATTGAAAAAATGTTGCGTACCAATTACGCATTAAAAATGTTAGATATGCACAAAGTTTAAAACAAATGCGTACGGAATATATTTATAAAAAATCGCTTGCGTAATGAAAAAGACATCGATTGCTATCAGGTTGTACTGTTCGTATAGGACTAGTGTTGTACTGTCAGTATAGGATGAGTGATTTTTTATGAAATCATTTCCATTATATTTATGGGTTTTGATTAGGTATGACATACGGCAGAACATACCTGCTTAGTAAACTTACTCAATGACACCATCCTTGAGTAAAATGACTGAAATACGCACATATTTGAAAATTGTGGGTAACGGAAAATGAATTACCCACTCAACATTCATAATACCCACTCCAAAAAACATACAGTGGGTACAGTACCCACATGAACTAAATCTTATCTGGAGCTCTGAACTTGTATTGTTTTATTCACAGGAATCCCGAATGTCGGGCCCTGATCACTACCGCAGAAGGGAAGTTTTACAGCAATGGCCTGAACTTGGACTTTCTGAAGTCAAAGGAGCGCTACGTGTTCGGTGAGCTGTGTAGACGTCTATTGACGTTCCCAGTGGTCACTGTCGCAGCTATTAATGGTAAGCACTTACTTCAGTGTTCTTCGTTAATATTCCACCTATTTTCAACGTAATGTGACCCGTGAAGATTCGGGTTAGAATTGGTCTTCAGTAACCTATGCTTGTCGTAAGGGGCGAAGTCAGGCCCGGTCAGGCCCGCTGACTTGGTTGACACAAGTCATCGTATAACACTTACGTAGATCGATGTTCATATTGTTGATCACTGGAGTGTCTGGTCCAAACTAGATGATTATTTACAGACCTGAGTGCGGCGTTAAATAAAAAAAAAATTCTTCAATATCCGTGCTGCATCAGTGGCCAAAAGTCTGTTCGCAAAACATGTTACGTTGCCCATGTTTTGAGGGGTAGGTTGACTTTGAGAGCGTTTCGCCGTGCTGATAAGCCACCAATCGTGATGTGATTTGGGGTACAAATTTCACAGGTCACAAAATATGTTTAGCACCGATAATATGCGATTATCTCCCTTGCTTTGTTTATATTTTTGTCGTCTGCTATCATGCCGCCTGTCAACCGAGAATTGACACCTGACCAAAGAAATTTAATTGTTGACTTGAAACAGCAAGGCCAATCAAGCTACAAAATTGCTGATTTGACAGGTATAAACCCAAGAACAATTCAGAAAATTTTAAAACGTTTTCGGGAGCGAGGTTCAGTTAAATCGTTGCCGAGAAGTGGGCGGCCCCGAAAATCGTCACCAAGAAGCGAACGACGGCTTTTTCGTCTTGTGAAAAGAAATCGCCGGCAAACACTTGGGGATTTGACAGCAAAATATAACAATCAGGGACAGACTACACTGTCTTCTCGCACTGTCAGAAGAAGATTGTTCACTGAGGGGTACCGTAGACATGTGGTAAGCAAGAAAATCACCATTTCTCGTGTTAACAGAGAGAAGAGACGCCGATTTTGTCGGACAAAATTGCATTGGGGAAGAAATGAGTGGGATAATGTCATTTTCAGTGATGAGACACAAGTCCAGATTGGGATAGACAGAAAAGTTTATGTGTGGAGAAAGTCGCATGAGCGGTTACGACCCGATTGTTTGGGGGTTCGTACCGATCATGAACGAAATTCGAAGTTTTCAGTGATGTTTTGGGGGTGTGTGTCTGCGTATGGAGTGGGAACTTTAACTGTCGTTGATGGCAACATGAACACTGATAAGTACATTGCCATTCTTGATAACCACTTGTGGCCTGTAGTTGCCAGGCATTTTGTCAACCGGAATTGGATTTTCCAAGAAGACAATGCCCCTTGTCATGTGTCCATTCGGGCTAACCGTTGGAAACAGGAAAATCATATTCCGACTTTGCCGTGGCCCCCACAAAGTCCAGATCTCAATATCATTGAAAATGTATGGAAAACTGTTAAATATCAACTCAAAGCCAGATTAGGTGACATTAACTCCAGACAAGATCTCATCCGTGTGGTGAATGACATTTGGACTGGGCTTAGTCCCGTTTACATTCGTCGTCTATATGACAGTTTACCAAGACGACTCCGAGATGTCCTAAGAGCACAGGGTCATATCTCTAAATTCTGAAAATTTGAGGTGAGTACCTGTTTATTATTTAATCATAGATATTCGAATGTTTGTTTTTTAAATGGGGACCCGACTCAGCAGCTATGTTTGAAATAGCCGTGATACGTCACCGGTGCGAACAGACTTTGGCCACTGACTGATACAATAAGTAGGTCAGTGTACTGTTTATTGGGTTTTGGTTTCGTTTCTAGAGTATTGCATTAATGGAAACTCTGCATTACATAGCCTATATTTGATTATGTCTGTACGTGACTGTATAACACTGAAATTGACACCCTATATTCCATAAAAATCAGTAGTCGACCCTCAAAATAGATGTTGCGTTACTATCTTGTTCTGTTTTAATCGCTGAAATCTTCCAAGTATCCGCATGAAGTCTTCCATGTTTCCATGAAGGTCACGCATATGCTGGCGGAGCCCTGTTGGCGTTGAATCAGGACTTCCGGGTCATGCAGACCAAGCGAGGCTGGATCTCACTGAACGAGGTCTTCATCAATGCACCACTTGGTCCAAGCATGCCATTGGTCAGGTACATGAGTATCCGTTTTTGTTCGTGCTAGAATATGATATGTATCTGAAAATACAACTGTTATTTAATACGAGGGAAATAACAATTTATACCGGAACTACTTCCTGACCGGAACTACTTCCAATCAGTGGCACTTGTTTTTGGTAAGGTTAGGCTGATCCTCATACAAATACACTGATGTACAAAAGAAAGTACGCGCCTGTCTATTATTATTTATTAACGAAAATCGTAAATATTTTGAAAAGTGATTTGTTTCTGACACAAACACTGTGAAAATGTTGCCAAAAGCAACAAAAGATGCCAAAGATGCTTTGAAACTGTGACAAATAGTTTTACATATCAGTTGATACAAAAATCGTTTTTTTCCATAGCTCGATGTAGTGAGTGAGGTTGAGATGTGGGCTTTGAATAGCGTTCCAGTTACCTCACCTCGTGTCAGCAGGGCGGTGGGGCAGCCTAATGGTTAAAGCGTTCGCTCGTCACGCTGAAGACCCGGGTTCGATTCCCTACATGGGTACAATATGTGAAGCCCATTTCTGGTGTCCCCCGCCGTGATATTGCTGGAATATTGCTAAAAGCGGCGTAAAACTAAACTCACTCACTCACTCACTCACTCGTGTCAGCAGAATGTGTGAGGACATCATCATCTCACTAGCCTTCTTGTTTCCAGAGCCAAAGTGTCGGGTCGGGCTGCTCACGATCTTGCTGTTTTGGGGAAGAGGTACACAGCGGAAGAAGCAAAGGATTGTGGGATTGTCGATTTGACTTCTTCACCGGAAGACCTGCTGTCGTCTGCAAGGGCACTAGCCAATCAATACACGTCAAAACAGAAATACGACAGAAACACCCTCAGGGCGTTCAAAGAGGATTTATACAGATATACCTTTAACACTCGTCCCTTGCCATTGGAGAAGTCTAGATTGTGATGGAGCTAGCGCGGTGTGCTTGTGGATCTTATCTCAGGGTATTAGCTACATGTATATCCAGAGCATGCAAATGTGTTCTCAATGTTTGAGTGAAAGTGGCGGGAAAGTGATCTTGACGTGATCAAGCAGAACAAAGCGCTCTCCGACAAATTTGTGCTTAGAGACCTGGGAAAACGGAGACAGTGTCTGTGTAATCAGTTTATTCATTTACTTACAGATTCATATACATGGGGGATGTACGAGGGGGAAAATCAGATAAAGAACTGTTTCCGCCAAAATATTTTGTAGTCAAATTTTACCAAAAGTGAAAGCAAACTTTTGCTGGATTTGCCAGATTTCCATTAACAAAGCGTATTGTGATAGAAAAATACATTATTAAGGGAGTCGTTTTGCAGAAAAAAATTTCCAGATTTAACATCTTAACAACAAATGCATCATGACAACGATTTAACAACGATCATATAATCATGTGCTGATAGATATTAAACAGAAATCGATGATCAATACACATCTTTCGAATGCACAGTGTGATGTATGTTATTTTACTATTATTTATGTTAATCCAAATAATAAATCCAGATGAGAAAAATATATAATAAAATTTATGATTATCAGCAACGACAGCTGTATTCAGATGTATCTATGTACCCAGAGTGAGCCACGAGACAGTTCTTGTTTTACACTGTTAGGGCAAATTTGCAGCAGTCTCTCAATAAGAGTAATTCTATCTTTCTTCAGTACCTGCCGACAAAGGAAAGAAATATGCAATATCCATGCATTTCCCCCAGAAGGAATGTATGCTTAGGGCTCCAGTTGGTGCACCTTAGCCTGTCTAACAGTCCCTGAACCATATTATCTTCCATTAGCCCAGCCCTTTCTGCAATGCTGGAGCCCAAGATTCTGAATCTCCTATCATACTGGGGCTTCTTTTCAATTTCAAAGGAATTGTTTGTTTCTATCAAAATTATATATATTCAGAGACTAAGCGTTAGTCTAGTTGTACTTCTCCGACCAATGTGTATTGAGTGTGATTGACTGTGATGTTGAAACAGCTTTGATTAGTACTTTAGTTTTATCACAATATGTTGGGTCCATTTTAAAAATCATATGGGGCCAGTAAATCTCCATAGTCACTGACCCGACTGGCTATAGTGAATTTTCATGGGGTCAGTTTGTACATATATCACTGTCTCCGACTTGTTAAGTTAAAATACTTTTCTCATGCAAGAATATGGCCTGATAAAAATAATATTAGCAGCTTAATGATGAAACCAGTGTCTACATTCAAATTTCGGACTAAATGAATTATTTTGTGGGCTAGTAACTTTCAGGCAAAGCTAGAAACTAACACTGGTTAGGTCGACTGGCCGAAGTAATGCAGGTCTTTGACGTTTTTTAACAAACGAGGCGGAATATGGGATTCAAACTGTGCACAGAGTATTTGGACGCCTTAGGCTATTGTCACCCGTGCCCTAGGTGTCAACAGGTACTATGTATAGAATTCTTACAGCCACACCAAGTTCAAGTCTCCTGGAGTATCTACGGTATTCTGAAGGCAGAGCTAGGTATCATTCATTGGTTTGCCTGCACCAGCAATCGTGCCATTGTGGGCACAGGCCCTCGTGTCTTTGCGAGGATTACAGATTTTTAAAAAGTATGTAAATAAATGAGATGACCCCCTGACTCGAAATGCTTGACGGAACAATACATCACGGTGAATTGTACTGTGAGCATTTTGAGTCGGGGGTCATGTCAAAAACAATATGTTTTAAATCTTTAATCCTCGCAAAGACACGAGGGCCTGTGATTGTGGGTGGTGGTGTAACAGGGATATCTGCCTCCATATGGCCATGATGGCAGCGATTAGCGTCGTTTGACCAGTCGTACATCGAACGGATGAGTCGATTGTCAATTTTCTTGGGACATATACTGAAGTCCCTAACGACAAATGCAAACACAAACTTGCCTGAACAGTCAAAATATATAAGAAAAATATCCTTCTATATAGAATTTGCAGATAATACAAACACCGAGATACGTCTCGTTTGCTTTGGGTTGGACATTACAACGTTTAGTAGTATCTCGAACTATGCTTACGAGGGGCGATCAAAAAGTAGTCGGACTTACCTAGAAAGTGATGCAAATGCAGTTGTTTTCATCCCCGCCGAGCGTTTAGTGCGAAGCTGGGGATATAGTACATGTATTAGGCTCCGTCCGTCCGTACGTACGAATTGGAATATCTTAAGAACCGTTGACTAGAATCATATTTGGTACCTAGGTTCATCACGGTATAAAAAGGTCCCAGTCAGGTTTTGACCTTGACCTTCATTTCAAGGTCACAAGGGGACTTAGCGTTTTACTCTTGTCGGCGAGATATCTCAAGAACCGTTTACTAGATTTTCTTCACATTCAACAAAGCTTTATCTAGGGAAGGCGCAGGGTCCAGTCGTTTGGTGACCTTGACATAAATTTCAAGGTCATGGCGACATTGTGAAGATTTCAGCATGTTCATGTTAAGCAATCAAGAACCGTTCACTGGATTTCTTCATATTTGACATCAAGCTTTATCTAGGGAAGGCGCAGGGCCCTGTCGATTTTAGTGACGTTCACTTAATTTTCAAAGTCATGGTGACACTTTGAAGATTACAGCCTATTAACCTGCATATTATGCTTGTCAGCGAGATACCTCAAGAACCATTCGCTGGATTTTCTTCATATTTGACGCCCAGCTTTGTCCAGGGAAGGCGCAGGGCCCAGTTGCTTTTGGTGACCTTCACATAATTTTCAAGGTCACGGCGACACTTTGAAGATTTCAGCATATTAGCCTGAATTCACTGGATTTTCTTCATAGAGTTCAAGAATGAATGTTTTCAATAAGCATTTTCTTTAGTACCATATTTGCATATTTCATACACTATGACATTCATGCCATGGTCAAAGTCAGTCTTGAAAATATTCATGCGTTTGAACAACTAAAGACCAAGATATCAAAAGAGGTTGACTGGTCACATTTAACTTCATTTTAAACTTTCATTACTTTTAAGTTTAATTTGATAATTTGCGGCGGGGATTATGTCACCTTAGTGATAATGCTTGTTGTGTTTTATTTTTCAACATATACACAAAGTACTTGATTAACCACCCGCTGTACTTTTGCAATGATAGGTTTTCAACACGTTACATAAAACTTCTCGTGGTGACCACGATGGGAAACGATGAGTGTTTTCTGGCCAGTATGATCCTTTGACTCATAAAAACGACAAAATGGTTGGAATCCATGTTGATTTTATGATGATATAAAAATGATTTAAAAACACACACTGATTTTCATGCAAAACCATGTCTGTACAAGTATGGCCCTGGAATGTTTAATGTGAACATTCAAAAGTCATTTTGCGTGTCTTACACGATTCAATGTATGGCAGCCAGCACTCTCCTCCTCATACCCCTTGCCAGCCCCTGATCATCTGACGGGCCACCTCTAAGCTATTCGTCGTGTAAAGCAGCTTCCAATTGGGCCAGGTTCTGTACAGGATCCCTTTGTTGCACACGAGGACCAACCATGTAACAGGTATTCTCGAAAGGGTTAAGATCAGGGCTCATTCAATCGTGAGATGTGTCAGGGGCCCTTAACTAAGTTCTTCGTGTATATTATCTGTCAACCTCAAGCAAATTGGTTTTGCTATGTTCCAGCCTTACGATCCCCATTTTGTTTGACTTATTATCTTGGTACCCCAAAAACTCAAAATCTGCAATAAATGCATCACAGACTTCAGGAAACAAAATATGCAAGAAACATTTTGTGTGTTTGAAATAGGTATAGAAGTCCACTAGACTTAGATATTAAGAGTGCAATAAAAGCAATTCCAGTGAAACAGAAAACAAATACATCTCAATGTGAAAATGTCTTTTATCCAAAAGATGCATATATAGAGATTATTACACGAGCAAGTGTGTCATACGACTTACACGAAACGAGTGTGAAATACACATTTTGCACGAGTTTCGTAAAAGTACACGCGTGGCACACTTGTGGGTGTAATAATTTCTTTATTATCCATTTTATTCATGTACATTTGTCAAATTGGGCAGTAAAACACGGTTAGCAAGTGTGACTGCCCTGTTCAATGACGTCACGTTCAATTGTTAAATGACGACAGACAACGAAATACAGAAACAATGGTTGCTATGCAAAAAAGTGATATATGCACATGTGCACATATGATATATATGACACTGCTTATGTTTCACCATGTGGATAATAAAGATGTATATATTATCCCTATTCTTAAGGTTCCGGTGGCTTTAATAATCAGTCTAAGTAACCTTAGACTCAGGATTATTCGTTACACTGCTACACTGAGTCTAACAAAACCTAGTAGAAGGTCGCGCCAGCCAACCTTTGAGCGACCAATCAAACGCGAGACGGCCGAATGGATTTAATCAATCAGACAACGACTACTTGTTAGGGTTCGGCGGGACTTACAAAACGGTTTTTGGATTTTCTCTTCCCTGGTCTATCATCAAACGAAAATCCGCATAAAACACAGATATTTGACAATGCAGTATATACGTTTATAGGTTTCTAATGACATGGTTACTATTTGCTGATATTTTCGCAAGATGGCATCCCTTGAATATTGACACAAAACGCTATTTTCAGCGGCTGTTTACTCATTGCGTGTATCACTCGAAAGCGATCGTGCGGAAAATAGCATTCGGAATCGTTCGAGTTTTATAGGTAAAGGATCAAACGGAATGTGCGAATGCTAACTTTCGCGATTTGGTAAGCTGTGTTCTGATTGGTCAGTCCAAAAGGTTAGCTGACGCGACCTTCCACTAGGTTTTGTTAGACTCAGTATAGCAGTGTAACGAATAATACTGAGTCTAAGTTCACTTTAGACTGCTTTAATAAAGGAAATTTTTTTCCCAGTCAAACAGAAAACTAATACAATCTCAATGTGACAATGCCTTTTAATGATCAAACTGTATATATTATCAAAAACATTCATATAGTTGAATAGATTATCCCTAAAGACATTCACTGTGGCAGATATACTTTAATTATACAAGAAATGTACATTCAGTAAAGCCAAGCTAAAGAATGCTGTGTTCAACCCCAGCATTATGACAGCAGCCTGCATGTAGTCTAGTCTGAACCTGACAATCCAGTGATTGATATTATGAGCAATGCCCCATATGCCAAGATACAATGACAGTAAATGAACCCAGTCATCAGCCTGGCAATCAGACTGATCGTCAACCAGCAGGCCAAGCCTTGGTTGCTGGAGACCTATTCTAGCCCTGAATCCACGCAAACTTGAGGAGAGCAGACAGACTGTTGGGAGGGTAACAAGCACTCTTCACTCTACATCCAGCAAACGAAAACACAAAGATCTTCTGAATAGATACTTGAATGACATCCAACAGTTGCTCTCTCTCACTCTTGTACACATACATGCAAGCAAGCATGCACACTCACACACACACAAGCACACACACACACACATGGCGTCCTCTCTATCCAACTAGACTGTATCATTCAAAGGAGTCTGGATCAGAAGATGCATTGTCTTCAGGAAGAGTGTT